GTCACTTGTTTCCACGTGTTGTTAATCAAGAGGCAGTGCCATCTGCCAGTTCATTCTGCAGTCCAAGCTTAGTATAATTTCTGAGCCCTCCTCCTTGCAGTCAGGAAGGGAATCCTCATGGGGGAAGCGTGTGGTTGGTGCTCTGCCTTGGTGTCTGGGCTCCTTTCCCTGTCGGAGTAGGAAAGGGTCTCTCTTCATGTGCCTGTGTTTCTCCCTCAGGATCGTCGCTGCCCGGTTGAATGGCTCTTTGGATTTCTTTTCGCTAGAGACACACACATCCTTGAACCACCTGCAGTTCCGAGGTAAGCGGGTGCCCGAGCGTGCTCTGCATGTGTGAGCTCTGCTGAGCCTCTTCCTCTCCCCTTGCCTCCTGGTACCTGACTCTTCCTCACCTCACACTCCAGCTTTCATAATAATGCTGTGCTCCAAAACACCCTATGCTGCTGCAGAATGCTGAGCCGGCTGCTGTGGGGAGCTCAGGGATACTTTGGGAGTTCCCTAGGTAGGGAGAGTGCCTCAAGCGTGGTTTTTCTCCAGTGCACAGCCCTGAAGGCTGAGGCATGCATTCAGGGTCAGCTCTGCTCTGTACCTCTTTCCAGTCCCATTCCTCACTTATTTTCTCCTTCAGCAAGGTGTGTTCTCACTTGTACACTGTGTAGCCCCGTACAACCACACCACACACAAAACTTCATGTAGCTGATTTGCAGTGTAGTGTCTGCTTTGGTTCTGGGGACACCTGGAGGGAAGAGAAACCCTGGGAGAATGGCTGCATTCCCTGAGGGATGTCCTGGGCCCTGCAAGCTGTAGATGTGGAAGCGGAGCAGGCTCTGCAGAAAAGGACTGCCTGTGGAAATTACTTTTCCCTATGGAGCATGGAGAGCCTTGTGCCCAGCTCACTGTTCTACCTCTGACCAGGGAATTGCTCTGGGGTTCAGGGACCTCAGTCTTGCAGAGACTGATTGTGTAGTGGCCACTGCTCTGCAGAACCTTCCACTAGACCAGGTTGCTCCAAGCCCCGTCCGATCTGAGTGCTCTTAGTCTTGGAGCTTAAGGCTGCATCTGCTGCAGCGAAGACTTCCTGTGTGTCTCACCACAGGAGCCCCGAGCAGAAGCAGCATCCCGTCCTCACCGGTGGTCAGCAGCAGCGACATCATCCTTTGTCAGCTCACCCACACTGTGTCCTGTGCCCACCAGAAGCCGATCACAGCACTGAAGGCTGCAGCAGGGCGGCTGGTCACTGGGAGCCAGGACCACACTCTGAGGGTAAGGCTTCGCCCTGTAACCAGAGGGGTGCACGTGCTTTTCTGTGCCATTGCCACTGCAGAACATGAGCTCATCTCCTGTGTGGCCAGATGATGTGTGTGTGCAAGAGGTAGGTGAGCATTTGAGGTGGGGTGGCTGGAGCCCAATCTAGTGCATTCCTGAAGCTCCCATGTTGCAACCGTCTGCCTGGATACCCTCGGAGGGAGTAGAAAGACAGAGCCCTGTATGAGCCCAAGCAGAGCAGGAGATCCTCTTGGGGCTTGGCGACTTCAGGAGTAGCCAGGTCTGGGTTCTGGGGTACCCCCTGTCTTCTTGTCCCTTCCAGCAGCAGCTCTCCCCTTCAGCCGTGTACATCACTGCCCAACAGGCGTTGCCCCATTGCTCCCTTCCCCTGCCCCTTCCTCACTGTCCCAAATTGCTGACAGGCTCTGGCTCTGCTGAGAGATGGGGGGTGGCAGTAAGGAGGATAAAGTGGGATCGGCTACTTCATTAGCAGTGTGGCTCTGCGACACAGCTGCCCTATAGACACTTACCTCTGCCTCTTCCACCCTCCCTGCAGGTGTTTCGGCTGGAGGACTCGTGCTGTTTGTTCACACTGCAGGGTCACTCGGGAGCCATCACAGCGGTGTACATTGACCAGGTAAGGTGCAGAACAGCCTTTACATATGGCTGCTGAGCCACTGCTTCAGCCAGAGGAACCCCTCTCCCGGTCTGCATCTGGGGAAGCTGATGTATGCTTCTCCCAAGGATGCAGAGTGCTTGCTGGCCCCTATGGCTGTGTGCTCACCTTGTGACTTCCAAGCCTGGAGAAGAGAAGGCACTAGGGAGACCTTGGAGCAGCTTCCAGTGCCTAAAGGGGACAACAAGAAAGCTGGAGAGGGGCTTTTAACAAGGGCAGGTAGGGACAGGACAAGGGGGAATGGCTTTAAACTCATAGAGGGAAGATTTAGATGAGATCTGAGGATGAAGTTCTTCCCTGTGAGGATGGTGAGGCCCTGGCACAGGTTGCCCATAGAAGCTGTGGCTGTCCCATCCCTGGCAGTGTTCAAGGCCAGGTTGGACGGGGCTTGGAGCAGCCTGCTCTAGTGGAAGGTGTCCCTGCCCATGGCAGTGGGGCGGAACTGGAGGAGCTTTAAGGTCCCTTCCAACCCAAACCATTCCAGGATTCTGTGATTCCCACCCAGCTCACTGCAAGCACAGCAGTCCTGTTCCCTGGACATGATTTTGCCTCCCTGCCCTGTTTGGAGCAGGAAAGCCCCATTCCATGTACCCATGCTCATGCTACCCATAAGCATTGTACCCACTGTGCTCAGCAAGTGCTTCTATACAGAACTGGCCTTTGTGCTTGGCACCTTCCTGTGTCTGTGGCACGGTGAAGCCCTGGGCTGTGCTGCAGAGGTCACTGTTTGCCCTCCTCCGATGTTTCTGACCTGGCTCTGCTGTGTCCTTGCAGACAATGGTGCTGGCGAGCGGGGGCCAGGACGGTGCCATCTGCCTGTGGGATGTGCTGACGGGAAGCAAGGTCAGCCACATGTATGCCCACCGAGGGGACGTCACGTCCCTCACCTGCACAATGTCCTGTGTCATCAGCAGTGGCTTGGACGATGTCATCAGCATCTGGGACCGCAGCTCGGGAATCAAGCTCTATTCAATCCAGCAGGTTAGTGGCCAGGGAAAGGTTAAGGGTGCTCCTGCACTTGTATGGACCCATGGAACCAGAACCCCTGGTGGTTCCACAGCCTATTCCCAGCCATGGCATAGGC